AAAAAAAAAAAAAGACAAAGAGAGAGAGAGAGGGGGGACGTACCAAAGAAAAATAGAGAGAATGAGGGGCCTACCAGAGAGAGAGAGAGAGAGAGATCATAACAAAATTTACGAGTAGTTAAATTTTTGTTGCTCCTGACCTCCCTATTTTGAGAAGACGGACCTCAACGCCTGGGGCTGAGGACCTTTTTGCAGTTCACATGCCCTCACTTCTTTTAAGGGTCCGCTTTCACCCGAGGACCGTTCCTTTTTTTTTTCAAAAGTCTCAATTCTACAAGAGTTTGTCGTAGGCTGTCTGCAATATCTTAAAGGACCCTCCCCCAAATTCCTCCCCCCCAAAGAACCCACTTGCATCGTGGTCGTCCGCCACCAAAAATGCAACACCTTGACACAAACGTCCTACCCAATATACCGAGCCTTAGGGCTGCGAACAACATTTTTCAACTACAACCTCCCCTATTTGCAGGCGATCCGAAGATCAATTGTCTACCGAGTGGGTGCGGGGAATGCCACCCTAAGGTAGTCCAAGCAATGGGTCTAAACGCACGCACAAGAGAAAGAGAGAGACAGGGGGGCTATCAAAGAGAAAGAGAGAGAGAGTGGGGTCTACCAGAGAGAGAGAGAGAAAAGAGAGAGAGAGAGAGAGAGAGAGAGAGAGAGAGAGAGAGAGAGAGAGGAAAAAAATAAAATAAAAAAATAAAAATAAAAAAAATAGAGGAAAAAAAAAAAGACAGCGAGAGAGGGGGGGGACCTATCAAAGAAAGAGAGAGGGAATGGGAGGCCTACCAGAGAGAGAGAGAGAGAGAGAGAGAGAGAGAGAGAGAGAGAGAGAGAAAGAGAGAGAGCTTGAATGACAAACTTGGAATATAGATCAAATTGCGGCCGCGGTTGGGGGGGGCGAGGGCTAGCAAAAAAAGGGGAAAAAGAAAAGAAGAACGAGAGAGAGAGTGAGAGAGAGAGAGAGAGAGACTGGGTTACGAAATTGGAATATGGGTAGATTGCGGCCGTGATCTATTTCGTAGTTAATATTATTTTTTTTAAATGATTCAATATTTTTCCTGGAAATATCACAACAAAGTTTAGGAGCAGTCAAATTTTTAGTATTTGCACACATTCTTCTAAGCGTGAAAAATTATTGAAGTTTGAGTACTTCATCCTTGGCCCATACATGGCTGAGTGGCAAATATGAAAAATGTGTCGAATTGGCGCAACAGTTATTTCGCGGTCTTAAGTGATTTTTTAAATTTTTCTGATATTTTTCCTCGAAAGATCAATGTCATGATCTACAAATTTTAAAATTTTAAGATTTTTCTGTGAATCCTTGTGAGCGCAAAAAATCGTCAAAGTTGCCTCTTTCAAAGTGTGGAACGTCTCTCCCCCTCACTTTTTTTCGGGGTCCGCTTCCACCCGAGGACCGGTCCTTTATTTTTCCAAAAGTCCCGGTTCTAAAAGGGCTAGCAGTAGGTCGTTCGTAATATCTTGAAGGACCGGTCCCCCAAAAATTTCCACCCCCAAAGAACTCACTTGCGACTTGGTCGCCGATGGTTGAAATGCGACACCCTCAAAATTTCTACCCCCTAAGAACCCACTTGCATCCAGTTCTACAAGAGTGGGCTGTGAACTACCATTAAAAACCAGCAGCTACGGATCTGAGTCTTTGACGACCCCTCTATAATTTTATACTGCATGGGCGCGGGGAATGCAGCCCTAAGGTAGCTGAAGCAGTGAGACTAAGAGCACAGACGAGAGAGAGAGAGAGAGAGAGAGAGAGAGAGAGAGAGAGAGAGAGAGAGAGAGAGAGAGAGAGAGAGAGATTTTTTTTGATATATCCAGTTAATAGATAAGAACCTAATCCAAGACATTCTAGAGAGATAAAAATGGTTATTAAGTCATTCGCACTAGATAATATCATTGCTCCTAGAGTTGTAAATAATAAAAATATTATAAACTTTGTCAATCGTATTCCAGAACATTTGATATATTCAAAGGATAAAGGAATACAAGCAAAGCTAAAATAGTCAAAATTCCAGCGACACAAACTGCTAGAAGTATTGCGAAAATTCTTCTCGATGAAGGATTTATATAAAATTTTCGTGAAGTTGTTATTTCTGATAAGAATTATTCTTTATTAACTTTATATTAATTAATTCAAATTCAATTGTATTGAGA